TGATTATTGGTACCAGTTGCAAGGCACTGTCTGCATGGTGCCAGCTTTGCCAGTTCTGGACATTCGCGTTTACTATGATTTTGCGGATGTTTGTTTGTTTTGACGCAGTAGCCACATCGCTCCGGCTGAAAAAATTTTTTTTCCGTGCCTGAAGATACTTCAGGAAAGTTTTTTGCCTATCAGTACTGTGTGTTTTCAGCAAAAAAACAAATCGATCCTTATTTATTCCCAACAATTTTATTTCAAGATTGACTCGTCAACGAGTGACTGCAACTGGCGCAATACGGGTCAAATTGGAGTGTATTTACTTCTCTTAGAAAGTGAGATATGGAAATGTTTTGACTTTTTTACCCCATCTCTTATCTATACAACAAACATTCCTCCTGCTCTATGTTACTATTATGTTACTTCTGTTGTATGTGCAGGAAGACGAGAATGGTGGTCTATCTCACTGTCTAAAAAGACTGTAAAATAACTAACGTAGGAAAAAAACAAAATTTCAGCTAGTGACGTGCAAAAAAATTTAGCCACCGTATCAACTATTACGCCAGTGAAGTAGAAGGGCACAGTTTTGCTAAAAATGTCCAAATTGTTTCGGTCAGAAAAGTGATGTTGTGCAGCATTCGCGAATGTCTCAATTTAGTGAGATTTATGCTGCTAACCTCATTCTCCAGTGAACTAGTTAAGCCAGATTTGCCTTAGACCTTCAAAATAAGGAGCCGCAGTGCTTCTAAAAGCAGATTCGCAATTCGTAGCACTCACATTCACATTTCGTTCAATCACCAAGCAGGACGCATATATACTTGCAAAAATATAAAAGGCTACGAACCGGAGGCGGCGAAAAATGCGGAGCCTTCTGTCGCTTTCCCCTAGAAGCACGTGTTCCCCGCAGCGATTGCATTGTGATTGTTGCTTGCGGATGCATCCAGAGTGCCCTCCTGGATACTGGCAGACCAACATCCGAAGTGTTACTCCACCGGTAACTTGGGATTGCAGAAGAAGCCGAATAAGCTCTGTCGCGCACTGTTGGTGGCGGAAATGTAAAGATATTCGCCGACGATAGAACCGGCGGGGCTGTTGCAGGAAGCACTGCAGGTGAGAGTTTCCTAGCAGTCATCCACATGATTTGCGGATCCTCAGACACCGGCGCCCCGCACCAAACATCCTTTCTTTCTTCGGGGGATTTTGTTTCCGTGTAAACCAATCTTGGATCACTGCTTGTTACTGAACTTCTCGAAACAGCCCCCAGATTTTCAGCCGAATGCTTTCCCATCCTCCAGACAGCTTCCATAGTCTCAGCTGGTTCCATTCCCGCCGCCCAAACGGACCCTGGATCTTCAATTGCCGTCGCTGTCGTTTTCTTCCAAAAAATTCCCAGATCTTCGGAACTGTTAGTAAGACTGAAAAAAAAGAACTGATTTTTTTCGTTTAAATAAATTAATAGTTTGATAAGATTTCGCCTGCCGTCACAAAGTCGGCAAACTAGTGGCGAATTGCTTTACAGTAACATTCACAGCGAGCCATGAATGGGCCCTGGCTATGAGAAAACTTCTGCTAACACTTTCAGCAAGCTTTTGGTTGGGAGTAGGTGCCGGAAAAAACAGTGCCGTTAGCGACAAAAACCTGCGCGGAACTGTTCCAAAAATGCATCTTCGTATCGGCAGTCGGTGCGCTGGCCAGTTGCTGCTTACTATAGCAGCGCTGCACAGCAAAAACGCATAAAAACAGTTACAACAACCACCGATTACCGTTATGGGTCTTTCATGTCAAAAAACGCATAAAAATGAGTATGATTAAAAAAAGGGAAAAGTCGCCTACATTCACTAAACATACAAATTTTAGCGGATAAGATTAGCTTCCAATGAAATAACTTACCCAGTAAGCTGTTCATCACTTCCACCTGATCCTCTGGGTGTAAAACTGAATAGAGGGAAGACTGGTGAGCTTATATTCGATGAGTTGCTCGAATCGTCTGTTCTGCAATGAAATTTTTTTTGGGACAGGCTCAGATACTCCTTTCGTTCATATGAAAACTGTCAATGTAAGAAATTTAGGATTCATGAATTCATTACCTACAATAAAAACAGGCTTCTTTAACTTCTTTTTTGAATTTGAAAAAATACTTTTTCAATTATTTCCTTTGAGATCCCGCAAAAGAATAACTGAACTTCGTCCAATTAAAGAGATCTCTGATCTCTCTGTAGAAGTTTAAGTTGAAGTTTTCGCTACAGTTATTTTCTCTGTGAGAGCTGGAGGCGCTCGGAAGCAGCTCAAAGTATCCTAACAAAAATTAACTGCAGATGAGGCTGCCAATGGAACAGATGTTGATAAAAATACGAATAGGCAAAGTTTCGCCAAAAAACTAATTTTTAGATGAGCTAACAAAAATAAATACATGCATAGAAGATCCAGTATCATTCTTAAAACCCAAAAACAATAACTCTATGATTCGAATTTATGCCCGACCCCAGACCTCATGTTGGAAATTAGGTTACAGACATCTAAATAAGTGAATTTCGGATTGCAGGCTTTTTTTACAAATTTTTATTTTTCTAGTTATAAGAGTTTTTTTAAAGTATGCGGTCAGAAAAGCAAGCAGACATTATTTTGCCATAATGAATTTTTACACTGGATCACTGACGCAAAGACGTACAAAAAAAAATGAAAGTCCTCGAGCAAACAGACCTTCTAGCACCGATGAACATGTTTTGATACTAGGAAGGAAGTATTGAATTAGTTGGAAAGCTTTATAAAAAGATGCTAAAATGGTTCATCAGCGAATGCTGAAATAAGGATAATTAACTGAAAAATCTGCAAAGGATGCCA